TGCTGTGTGCTGACTCTTGCTCTCCTGGCGGCGTGCAGAGGCCGGGGCGGCCGCGGGTCCCACCCAGAGCCCTGTCCTCGTGCCCCCACCCCCGCTGCTCGGCCCGGACGGCTTCTGCGAGGGGCAGCGACGTCCTAACAGGACGCACTCGCGCCAGGCTGCCTGGGCTTCAGCCCTGGCTCTGCCGTGCAGCTCTTTGTTGCGTCTGTGCCCCCGTTTCCTCATTTGTAAGATGGGGCTGGTGAGAGAACTTCTCCCTGAGGGCGCTGCAGAGACACAGCGAGGCTCGACCCCAGAGAGCAGCTGTGTCCCCCCGAGCCTCCCTGAGTGGCCCGTGGTGAGACGACCCCCGACGGCCGCCACCCCGCGAGCTGAACCTGCTCTGCCCACCCACTGTGCTCTTCCCCTCGGACCTCTGGGCCGAGAGGCCTCGCAGGCTCCGTACTAGCGTGGTTCGATGATGCAGCGTCTTGGAGGCCCCAGGGTTGAAGGTGCCGCGTGAGGTGATCCAGTCCGTGTTTTCAAAAGAGCGTGTGGCGATGTGTGTAGGTGCCCACAGGAGGCGAGAGTGGGGCTCCTGTGTTGGAGAGCATTAGAGAACTCGATACGGTTTCCGGAAAAGCGCTGCGGGACTTGGGGGTGTAGTGGATTTGAGGGGTTAGGGAAAAGAGGTCACGGCTGCCACCTAGGGCTTTGACTCAAACTCAAAGCATCTGGGAGACTGGCCTGGGGTGCAGTAAGGTCCTGAGTTCTCTTAGTGGCCGTCAGCTTGCAGGTGTCTGGGACGTCCAGCAGGGGCCTCGGGTGGGCCGGGGGTGTGTGTGAGTCTGATGCTCAGGAGGTGACTTTAGTGGCTTGTTTTTTTCTTTTTCTTTTTGGTTTTCTTTTCTTTTTTTCTTAGAGTGCACGTGTGCAAGTAGGGGAGGGTCACAGAGAGACAGTCTTAAGCAGGTGCTCAGCACAGAGCCTGACGCAGGGCTTGATCTCACAACTCTGAGATCATGATCTGAACAGAAATTAAGGCTCAGACGCTCAACCGAGTGAGCCACCGCGGCTCCAGCATTTGCTCAGCTTTAAAGAGCAACTTCTGTGTCTGCTGCTTCAGAGAGGGACACCATTTGGGTGATGCGTTTTTGAAAGCATCACACGAATGACCGGGTGGAAACGTAGAGTGTCGTCCGTCGTTTATAAACTCGTGGTTTGTTGGGAACTGCCTACAAGGCACGGAAATGCCCTCTTTTCCGGGCCTCTTTGACACGGTTTTAGTCACTGCACGTCATTACTTGTCTGAGTGCAGGTATTCCTCTTAGAGGCGCGAATGACTAGAACGGCTTTTTGTTAATGTTAATAAAAATGAGTTGTCCCTGCTTCTGGTCCCCATGCTCTTTGGACAGCCGTCCTTTGCGGCAGCCACCGTGTCCTAGATTGGTGTGCCCTGCACTTGCGGGAAGAGTTGGAAAGCTTTCTGGGGCTTTCTGTGCACTGGCTTCCTCCTTCGACGGGCACGTGGACGCACTGAAGCAGCCCGCCCTCCCCAGGCCATTGAAATCTCCCGCTTACGTGCCAGGGAGTGAAGTGTCCTCAGTTTACGAGACAGACCAGGATTGATTTCTGTCTCATCCGTGTGAGGGTTGTGACGCCAGAGTCGTGCCATCACTCGTTCTGAAGCACATAATTGGGAGTCGCTGTACTCCTTCCTCCATACTCTTCGGGAATGACGAGGCCACTCGGGCCCGCTTCTCGCTCACCAAGATCTTACCCGATTGCCACGTTTGAAAGTAAGTTCAAGGTGAGGTGGGACCCAGCGCACATGGTGCTGGCTCCTCCCTGCTGCCGTCTCGTGGTGTCTCCGAGGACGAGGTGCGTGAGCCCGCCTCACAGCCCCGTCCACCTCCACCGTGTCACCTGCCTGACTTCCCTCACCTCCAAAGAGTAGCTGCTTGGCAGGGCCACCGGGCAGACTGGGGGTCCATTTGCACGGCCAGATCTGGTACCATTTCTGTTGACCAGCACCTGACAGCCCCGTGCCCCTAGCACCCCGCTCGTGCTGGCGTGGGCGGAGATCAGAACGCTTTTCTTCTCCCGCTGAACGCCGAGTTTGTCGAGGGCAAGGCATCCGTGCCGACTCTTCAGTGCTTCCCAAGTGCCAAGCACAGAATAGAATTTCCTTAGTGGATTCGCTCTGGGTCCAGAGTAGAGTGGACCTCCTTGTCAGGGACTGGCTTGCTTTCAGGAAACTCGCAGGACGCTGTGTTGCTCATTTATAACGAGGAAAATGCCTTGCAAGTGGGTGCAGACAGTACCCAGGTCTCCTTGGCCAGCGTACTCGCTCCTGGGGGACAGTTGGACCTAATAGGCCACGAGAACGTTTGCAAAGCCCGAGTCAGAACAACTATTAAATGCTATCTTAGCCCATGATAAGAGTGGCCTTTTCAGCCCCTTGGCCCGTGGCCGGTGCTTAGGTGGGCGTTCCCAAAGACGCGCTTCCCAGACCTCTCTCGACCAAGCACCCGAGGCTAACCGGTCGGTCATTTTCTGTGTGAACACCTGATGGCCCGTTTTACTTCTCTCGAGTTTAGATTATGTGATCTAAGTTACAGTCAGCTGTTGGCCCACCCTGGCTGCAGCCTCCACTGGGTCTGTGGGAGCCGCCCGTACATATGTCAGCTGGAGACTCTGACCGTGCTGTCCCCAGCCCTGCCCTCTCCTGAGCACCACATCTGTATCCAGCTGTCTGCTTGATGGTTCTGGTCCAAAGGCTGAAGTATCACACACACGTCCCGAATGGGCGTGACTTTATTTTCACCACACCTGCCCCTTCTGCTTGTCCATTTGTCCCGTCCACAAACCTTGTCATGCTCGATTGCCTGTTTCCCTCCCGTCCCACCCGCAGTCGTCCAAGCGTCCCAAAGGTGCCCCACCCTCTCCTTTAGCACCACCTCAGGGTCTGTGTCACTGGTGTTTCTGGGGTGGCCTGTTCTGGGAACCTGGCTGGTCTTTCTGCTTCTCACAGCCTCCCCCAAGCCTCCTGTGCCAGAGCTGAGCGAGCCTTTACAATGAAGGTCATGTGCCATAGGTCATCGTCCGGCACCCGCTCCTCTGGTTCTCGGCACCTGTCCTCCGCCTGCCTCGGTCTCCCATGCTGTTGTCTTCACCCCGTAACCTCAGCCGCTGTGACTGTGTCTTACTCTTTGACCGCAGCTGTCACTGTCCCCTCGCTCTCTGCAGGTGCAGTACCCCTTTGAGCACACGGGGACCTTCAAGCCGCTGCAGGCAGGCTGTCACCTGTGTGTGTCACTCCCTGGCGGTCCACCTCCTAGCAGCTCCCAACGTGCTGAGGGGGGGGCACGCTGAAGTCTGCGGCCCTTCACTCCCCTCCGCCCCCGTCCCAGCCTTCTCCGCCTGCTGGCTCTGCTTCCTGTCTGAGTGCCTCTCACGCGGCTTTCAGCTGGGCTCCTGCTCCCCTCCCAGACCCCCACCTGCCAGTCTGCTTCTCCCACAGGCTCACCGTCTCAGTTCGTGGGAACTCTTGTCTCTTAGTGCACCTTGTTGGTTCCAATTTTCGGCATAAATCTACTTCACCCCTTTCCTGCTGCTGCCCTTGTGTCCACTCTGCTAGCCTCTTGCCTGGATGGCTTGGAGCATCCTGCCTCGTCTCTCCTGCTTCTTCCTTCTTGCTGTTCACAGCACAGCAGCACCTGCGTCAGATCACATCGGTCTGCTCGGCGCGCCCAAGGACCCTGTCTGTCCCCACGGTGAAAGCCGAGCACTCGCTGTGGCTGTCTTCTCCTAGCCGTCATTCTCAGACGTTACCGTGTATCCTTTGCCCACTGGCCTCCCCGGGCTTCCTCTGACACCACGGACGGTGGGCTTGCTGCCCGGAGGGCCCTTCCTGCCACTGTCCAGCTGCTCATGGTGCATAAGTAGAAGAGTGAGATGTGCGAAGTCTGAAAGGTCAGCTGTGGTCCCGCCACACAGAGAAGGGTGTGTGTGGTCTGTCTTCTCTGTGCTGGTACGTGTGCACCTGTGCTCACACATGACTGAGTCCCATCCCCAATGCTCCCCTTTAAAAGGCATCTGTCCCTGACATACAGATCATTTCGCCATATTATCTCGTGTAACACCGTGATACGGATTTTAACATCAGTAAATTAGTTCTGCACAATAGTCTTTTTTTTTTTTTTTTTTTTTTTTTTTTTTTTTTTTGATGTTTGTTTTTGAGAGAAGAGAGACAGAGCATGAGCAGGAGAGGGACAGAGAGAGAATCCGAAGCAGGCTCCAGGCTCTGAGCTGTCAGCACAGAACTCGACACAGGGCTTAAACTTGCTGACCGCGAGATCACGACCTGAGGTGAAGTTGGACACTTAACCAGCTGAGCCACCCAGGCGCCCCTGCACAACAGCCCTCAGGGCTGCATACAGTGTGGATAGACATGTGCAGACGCATGTAACCCACCTAGGCACACTTGCGCACCGAGCCTCCTTGTTGCTGAATCTTTGTGTAGTTCTTGAATTGTTTCTCAAGAGGCATGCCTTGGAATTTTAATTTCTGGATCCAGAGTTGGGTGTCTTTTTTTAAGGTATTTGTGCTGCGAAATTGCCCTTCACCAACCTTGTATCGACATACCCTCCTAACAGTGGGGCGTGTGAGTCCTTTATACCTAATTCTTGGCCAGCTTCCTTCCCTTCATGTACGTAGATAGTATGCACCTATCCTGCCTAACTTTTTACCACATGTTCTAGTAAGCAAATTATTGCTATACAGATTTCTGTTGAAGAAGTAAGACTTGGAACCCCTGAACCGTGTGCTTAAAAAGGGTTAGGATGCTATATCCTACACGACCTGTACTTTGTTGCAGCTAGTTAAAAAAAAAATGAAGCTTTGACAAGTGATGATGTCTCCTAGTAATGCGAACACAGGTGGTCGTGGGTGGTGGGAGGAAAGATCTGTGCTGTTAGTTCTTACTGCTCTAAGATGATTCTTGTAATTGTATCATACAGGCCAAAACACTAAGAAAACTGATCCAGCAGACGTTTAGACAGTTCGCCAACCTGAACAGAGAAGAGAGCATTCTGAAATTCTTTGAGATCCTCTCCCCAGTGTACCGATTTGATAAAGAGTGCTTCAAGTGTGCCCTCGGTGTGAGTATGGGGACATGGGGGCTGTGAGTGCGGGGCAGAGGATAGTGGACGAGGTGTGGGTTCTCCTGATGTTTCTTATCCACGGGCATCTAAATTTCTGATTGAAATCTGAAATGTCACATTTTTTACACCACGAGAATATTTGTCATTTTCAGTGAGAAAAATGCAAAAAGAAAATATATCAATGTAAAAATGAAATCCTCTTTTTAAAAAGCATGCCTGTGTTGATAATTACAATTTTTTATTCCAGCCCAGGGATTGGTTAACTGCTGTCTAGAGGCGAGTTTACTATTCAAATAATCTTTCCAAAGAAACCAGTAGCTTCCCCCCCATCTGACACTGGGTCGGGGAAGTTACAGATGTTTTGTACTGCCTGGTTGGACAGACGAATCACAAGCTGAGGTGCTGCCCGCAGCCCCCGCTTTGGTCCTTTTAATGTGTCCACAGCCTTTCATCTGAAATCTCTCTTTTTTCTTCTGGTACCTTTGTCCCCACCGGTTTCGCCTCCAAAAGTCAAGCTGGATTATTTCAGTGGAACTGGCGATCGGCCCAGAAGAAGGAATCAGTTACCTCACGGACAAGGGCTGCAGCGTAAGTCTGGGCTGGCGCGTCCTGGGATGCCGTGTGCACGCACACACTGCTCGCGTGGGACCTCACTGAGCTCTCTGCTCCCACACCCCCGGAGGGGTCTCTGTCCTGAGTTCTGCCTCAGTGGTTAAGTATTCAGTAAGTGCTGCTGGGTCAGCCAGATACTCACAGAGAAAAAGCAGTGAACTCTGACCCCTGTCGGCACACCATAGCAAAACCCATTCCAGATGGAGTATGGATCTACACGTGAAAGAGAAACGATAAAAGTATTAGAAGAAAACATTGGGAATCTCTGTAACCCTCGGGCAGGCAGAGTTCCTTAAACAGGACTTGAAAAGTGCTAACTCTAAAAGACAATTTTCATAAAATAGACGCTGAGATCAAGAACTTCTTTTTATCAAAAGATAGTAGAAAGGCAAGCCAAACATTAGCGTTAATACATTTGGCCATGGACCCTTAAATCCAAGGGAGTGGTTGACAATAAATCATTAAGTAAAGGGCAGATGACCCAAGAGGACACCCCCGTGGTCAGGGGATTAAATGGAAAGGTGTTGAGCCTTCTGGTCATCACGTCCATGCGTGTGGGACCACACATCTCTTCTAGGGTGGCTCACATGAGGAAGAGCCATAATCACAAGTGTTGACAAAGTGTGGGCCACTGGAGCTTTCCCACGCTGATAGCAAGTGACGGATGGCAGGAGCACATTGGTGTGGCCCCTTCAGGATGGTCTGTGGCATTATCCGTTGGGGGTTTTTTAATTAAAAAAAATTTTTTTAATGTTTGTTTATTTTTGAGAGAGAGACAGACCCATAGAATTCAAAGCAGGCTCCAGACTCCGAGCTGTCAGCACAGAGCCCGATGCGGGGTGGGAACCCACAAACTGTGAGATCATGACCTGAGCTGAAGTCAGACACTTAACTGAGACATACAGGTGCCCCAGCATTACCTGTTTTTATTACTCATGGATTGTTTCAGTTGTAGCCTTTAGGTTTGACTGGTGGTCTCCTGTGTTTTCTTGACTATTTTCTTTGTCCTTTTTACATGTAAGTCTTCCTGTGGAATCCACAGGCGAGGTCACAGGTGGGGCCCCTAGTGTGCTCAAGGGGGCAGGCTGTGGAGGACATGGCCACGGTCCCCACGTTGACTCGCTCTCACGCCAGCCTCGTGGCTTTGGGGTCCTGCGCCATCGACTTGTGTCCCCTTGATAGTAAAATGGCCATAATCATTTCAACTGCATAATAGGGTCAGCAAGAGAATTAAATACTTACATGGATTTGGAGTGTTTAGGTCATGGCCTCGCACCGCAAAATCCCTTAGAAATTTGGGTGTCATCACTGGTAGGTGGCTGGTTATTGCTGGCTCTGATGCAGGCAGCAGCTGGCAGTGTCCTTGCGGTTTATCGGGTCGTGTCATCTGGTACCTCTTGCAGTGCCCGCCGGGCACCTCCGTCCCACACCACTGGTCAGTTGTCTCCTTCTGGATCGACTCCACACGGTTCCAGGTGCCCCAGCCCGGGGTTTCCTTTCTTCCCCACACCTTCTCTGTGTGTCAGTCCTCGTTTGTACATTTGTCTGGCTCTTCCTGGTTACTTAGTCTTTCAAAACCAAATCTATAAAATTCACAGAAAGTGCTGTTGGGATTCCAGCTTGTATGTTAATTTTGCGAAATTTTGTGGAAGTAGATATTTTTTGATGCGAATTTTCTGTCCAAGAATATGGCATGTCTTTGTATTTGTTCAGGATTGCTTTATATCCTTCAGTAAGATTTTGTAGTCTTTTTCACATGCGTCTTTCCTGCTAAACCAGTTCATGAGTATTTTACTGGTTTTGGCCTATTTTTGAATGGGTTTTTATGGACTATTTCTAATTCAAAATGCATACTGCAAGCATAGCCAAATATGCTCGATTGTTGTTTATGATGATGCTGTATTCAACAAGCTTATCATTCATTTACGAAGTCATTTTTCATTAGAATCTTACCCTTTGTAGGTATACAATCATCTAATTGGCAAAACAAGAATTTTTCTGCCTTCTTCCCTAGTCTGTACAGTTTTTTCCTTTCCTTGTATTCCAAGGCTCCTTCCAGGTCATGTTTAATGATGGGTGGCAGAAGAGATCCCCGGGTCATTCTGGATTGTATCGATTGAAAGTGTGTCTTTATTTGGGGTAATGCTTGTTGTTAGGTTTCAGTAATGCGTGTCTTTGGTGTTCTTGTTTATTTGTGTATTTAAATTATGCCCTTCTGTGCTTAGAATTTTTATCAGGCGGGCTGCTATATGTAATTAAAGGTCTTTTCAGCCTTTACTGGTATGATCTTGGTTTTTCTCCCTTAATTTATTGTTTTATATTGTATTGATGCTGTGTTGGTATCGGGCTGTTAAGTGACTCCTACTTGGTTGTGCTGTATTGTTATTTTGAAATCTTGATTTATTGTATTTGCTGATATGTGGAATTTTTGCAACTCTTCATAAGTGAGATTAATTAAAATTTTCCTTGTTTTGAATGTTTATGTTTGAGAGAGAGAGCGAGCGAGCATGAGTAGAGGCGGGGCAGAGAGTGAGGGAGACACAGCGTCTGAAGCAGACTCCAGGCTCTGAGCCATCAGCACGGAGCCCGATGTGGGGCTCAAACTCGTGAACCGTGAGACCGTGACCTGAGGTGAAGTTGGATGCTTAAACGACTGAGCCACCCAGGAACCCCCATTCTGATCTTTTTTATATTAGCTTTATAAGGGCATGATATTAAAAATTACACTAAGTTCTTCAGGTAAATTGGGTTCTTTCTGTGATTTTATGGCCTGAAGTATTTTAAGCCAGAATTGGAATTGCGATTTTGTACAGGTGAGCTAGATTTGGTCTGTGTGACCCCTGCCATCTTCCTGGGGACAGGTGTGTGAGTGCCTCTCTGGCTCCTTCTACACCAGCACAGCTGCTCAGGTCGTGCGCTTCTTGCGTTGGCTTTGGTAACTTACATTTTGTTAGTATGTGCTCTGCTTCCCCACAGGTTCAGGCAGTTGCCATGGAGCTGTGCCTCGTGACTTCCAGTGACTTCAGGCCTGTGTCTGGTCTCACGCCCGAGCTGTCTGCGGAGGCTGGCCCTTGGGGCATGTGGAGGGCTCGTCTGTTGTAGGTGTCTTTCCAGGACAGGCTCAGAGATCAGGGTCACAGCATTTCCATTCATTTTCAGTAATGGCAGCGTTTACCTTTAGGCAGATCCCCTTTCCTGATCTTGTTTGATTGTTTTCATTGTTTTTTTTCCTGCTGTTCCCTTTGGATATTTCTCTAAAATTTATTCTCCCTTCCTTTTTCCGATGCCACTTTTACTGTCTGACCAGTTTCGGTGTGTGGTAGTCTTCCTTTGCAGTCTGAACTTTCAGTTTTGTTTCTCTTATTGTAGCATTATTTAACGGGATGGTAATTTTCAAGTAGCTCAGGGGGTTTGGGTCTCACCTTTATTATTTCTAATGCTCCTGGCTGACGAGCAGAGCACATGTTGTTTACATGCTAGTTATTTTGCATGTGTTCCAGTCTTCATTATAGCCAGGCACGTGGTTGATTTTTATAAATGTTCTACGGAAGAAACATACATTTTCTCTTTGGTGCTACAAGGATCAGTGTGCTCGGAAGTGTGAGTTACTGGTTATATGAAGAAGGAGGAATGGGCCAGGGCAGTCAGGATAGAGCCCCGCGAGTTCCTGTGGAAGCTGCCATGCTGCGTTTCCACCTGCCACACTGCCCTCCCCTGTCCCGTGCCTTCCGCGTGAGCGCCACGCTTCTGGAAGGCCACTTCTGGCCGTCTCCTCTGCTCTCGCTCCTGCACCGGTAAACGCCTCCAATGTCTGGGCCATTCTTGTTAGCGTAGAAAATGTGTAGTTTCTCTCATCCTGAAACCCAGATCCCTTTCCCTCTCCCTCCCAGGCACCTCACATGTTTCCTCTTTCCTTTATTGCAAAAGTTCTTGGCGCGTGTGGCCGTCGCGCGCCTGGCGATGCGTGGCTGCCCCGGGCCGGGCTGACCTGAGTACGTCGCCTGTCTTGGGCCCGCTGCACTCGGGCTGCCCTGCCTCCCCTGCCGCCCCAGCACCCGCCCAGCCGCCTCGGCCGGGGGCGCCAGTGACCCTCGTGCAGCTAAGCCCCCTCCGTCCTTCTGAGTCCTCGTCTACTTCACTGGACTTCTGGGTCACCGCGTTCTCCGGCACCGTTCGATACAAGTATGATACCAGCGGCAGATAGAATTTTAAGTGTTGTAGTAACCACATTTTAAAAGGTAAAAAGGAATCGTGTCTTACCCGAGAATATCCAAGACACCATCATTTCAAGGGATCACCCACATAAAAGTTCTGGAGATGTCTTCTCTGCTTTTTATCATGCTGAGTCTTTGAAGTCGGCACGCTTCCCGCTCTCCCGTCGCGCCTCTGTTTGGACGAGCCGCGTACCGCCAGGTGCTCCCCAGCCGCGTGTGGCTTCCCGCTACCGTACGGGACGGGGCGGCTCCTGGTCTCCTCTGCACCCCCTTTCCCTCCCTTTGGGCTGCCGGTGACTCCTGCTGGGCCTCGTCTGAATGGCGGATTGGCCAGCTTGCACGTGTGTCTGTGTGGCCGCTCGGAGCCGGCGCCCAGGGCAGAGTGAGATCCGCACGGTCCCGCCTTCACGGAGCCCAAGTGCCATTCTCGTTCCCAGCGAGACTCGTTCCGAGACCCTCACCTTTCCCCCTGCCCCTCGCCCCCAAACAGACGCGGTAGTTTTGTGCGGTGCCCTTGGTTGCTTCGTTGTGGTCCTTCTCACAGTTGTGACCAGATGCTGACTCGGGCGATGGGTTATGCCCGGAGTCACGTCAGCCTTGTTCGCTGCTGTACTCCTGGTGCCTGGAACGGAGCCCCGCACCCCGTAAGTCTTCGAGTCCGTTCCTTCACCCCCTCACACACCAAGCGCGGCCCTCCTTCCCTGCGGTGCGGCGGCGGGCGGGACGGGCATCCGCCACTCTGTCACCCTCACGGGCCGTTCAGTCCGGCAGTGGGATCGGATAGGAGAAAGAAGACCAGCAACGAAGAAACAAACATAATCCGATTGTGAAAGAGGTGACGTGAGTGTGTGTGTGTCCGGTTGAGAGAGGGCCGTCAGCGTCGGCCCCTCCCCACCCTGCCTCCTTGGCAACGGATCTTGCTCAGGAGCCTCTTGCTAACCTGAAGTAAACTGCGGAGCGTGCTGCTGCACGCATGTAACCTCAACAACTCTCCTTCCGTGTGTCGGCGCACAGCCAAACGATTGGCAGACATAACAGAATATTCCGATACTTAGTAATGAACGTTTTCATCTGAGGGAGGGTGACCAGAAGCCCTCCCTTACAAGTAGTACCGGGGAGCGATAAGGGAGTTATGGGCCGACCCTGGGGGATAATGTCAGAATGAGGGAGGAAAACAGTAGGTTAATAAGAAAAGGAATCTAATTTTCATGACTTAAATTTCTCATTGTGCTTTAGAGAAAACTTTTTCATTATAAGATGAGTATTTTTATGTAATCACTTAGTGAAACTAGTTGAGATGTCCTTCATTTCATGTGTCAGCACCAGCTAAATGACATTGGATTCCTGCTCTGTTGGAAGGAGCCTCATCTCCCCCTTTACGGATGTGTGTGTGCGGGGCCAGGAGGTCAGATACCAAACAGAATTTCTCCCCATAATGTCATTTTCCCAAATGGTGAGCACTCATAATGCAGTTCCAAAGATAGCAAAGTACAGTATTTTCTAAATTACACATAAATTGTATTCCTAGAAAATTCACTGCGGAGCATACTTTGTGTTTTAAAGTAGACTTGGGTTCAGGGTGCCTGGGTGGCTCAGTCGATTAAGCAGCCGACTGTTGATTTCAGCTCAGGTTGTGATCTCATGGTCCGTGAGATCAAGCCTCACATCGGGCTCTGTGCTGACGGTGCAGAGCCTGCTTGGGATTCTCCGCCTGCCCCTCTGTCTCTCTCTCTCTCTCTCTCAAAATAAATAAACATTAAACAATTTTTTTTTAATAGACTTGGGTTCTAGAATCCGATTTTTCACCAACATGAACATGCCACCAGGACACTTGAAAGCCATTAAGGACACAGGACAGTCTTCATCATGAGGGAATTTCCTATGCGTTGTATGACGTCCCGCAGTCCCAGTCCCCATTTGTAGCCCGCATTCTTAGCCAACCCAAACCAACTCTCTGGGACACGGTTCTGCCCCAGTAAGACTGGAGTGCGTCCAGTGACGATGAGCTCGTGGTGAGAAATTAGGTCCAAGAGGCAGGCGGACGGCAGACCGGGTGGGCGTCCGCTTCCTTGTGCTGGCGTTGCACCTGTTTGAGCAGGGGACTGTCAGGCCTGACTTACACTTCGAAGTACCTCCCTGGCTTCCGGGTGGGGTGGTCCGTGAGGGGACAGGCACGGACCAGGGGAACAGCCGTGGGGCTGATGCTCTAAGCACGATACCGAACGGTGACTGCACTAGAGCGGCAGCCGGGAGGGTGGAAGGAAAACACCGGGGCTCCGGGCGTGGAGCTCGGCCGGGCGTGGGTGAGGGAAGGAGGAGCCAGTGAGGAGCTGCAGGAGGAGCCTGCTTGTTGGCTCTGGAGCAGGGTTGAGCGGTGATGCTTGTTGCCATGCTGGGGAGGCCTGGAGGAGAAGCAGGTGTTGAGCGCGGATCCCGTGGCCGTGCTGTTCACAGTCGGTCCCCTGCATCCGTGTGGGGGTGCGAGGCGGCCGGACACGCGTCCCGGTTCGGGGCTGGAGGTGGTCCTCGCACCACGGGGCCGGCTGGGGCTGCTGGGGCGCCACAGCTCCGGGGCCCTTGATGGTTTACAGAAGGAGCAGAGGAGAAGCGGGAGGACCTGGGGAAGGCCGGGGGGAGGGAGGCGGGGTCCCCCGAGGGCAGGCGGCAGGAGGCTGGGAGAGGAGAGCTGCCCGCTGCCCTGCTCGGAGGCCTGGAATGGGAGACCAGGAGGGCCACCCCGGCCCGGTCCGCCGGGAGGCCTCACGGAGCACACCCCGGCCTTCACAGCAATGCTGTGAAGATGTTCTGCTGTGAAGGGAGCTCGCTCCAAGTCACTGCTGGGCCATAATCCCAACTCAATCCCAGGGGCAGAATTTGGGCCAAGGGGGGCGCTTGGTGGCAGGGGCCAATCCGCACGCACTCCAAGAGAAGGAGGCTGGAATCAGGCTAGTTGCTGTAAATGAATGTGTGGGGATCGTCACGGCAACGTGGGCATTGTCAAGAAATGCTAGAAGCGGCAGACGGGCATTTGTTTTAAGAAGAAAAGGGTTTGTTCTATTTGGAAAAATGAAGTCTCTTTGGGCTCGTCTTCCTGAGAAGGGTCTTTGGACCCCTGCCATGTGTCTAGCACCATTACAGTCAGAGACTTGTAGCTGAGGGTGCTCTCCGGGCGGGGCGGGGGGGGGGGGGGGGGGGGGGTGCACAGGCCCCTCCCTCTCTGGAAAGGGAAGGGAGTTTCACACGCGGTTTCCCCACCCTACCCCTGGGCCGGCGAGTGAGTCAAGTCAGGGACTTTCTCCTTCCTTCTCTGGTAGCTGTGATTCAGTCTCCCAGCTCTGGGAGAGGGAGCGCTCCTGGTCGGCGTTCGGGAGCACAAGGCACAGGCCCATCCCTCACCTTGAGGTGCGAAGACGGTTCCCAGCGGTTCTAGGACTGCTCCTCGGGAGGAGAAAACCCCACTGGGGGCCGCATGCACGAGCGGCCTCTCCCCAGACGCAGTCTTTGGGAGGAGGTCCTGGGGAGAGTGGGATGGGGTGGGGACCGTGACAGTGTCACAGAACACCTGCCAGCAGTCCTTACCTGGGGTCCAAAGTGTTTGCCTTTTCTCCCAAGCCCACACATCTGGCCGACTTCAATCAAGTGCAGACCATCCAGTATTCCAACAGCGAAGACAAGGACCGGAAAGGAACGCTGCAGCTGAAAATCGCGGGCGCCCCCGAGGTAAGGGCAGGGTTCTTGCGGACCGCCAGACTCCCAGCTTTCTCCTGTGTGGGGGGTGTTCCGTCCCAAGTAGTGACGAGGACGGCAGGTGACAGCTGGCAGAGTCAGGAGCAGCGTTGTCGAGATGGCTGCAGGTTACCGTGAACTACCAAGGAAATCGGCCTCTTAGGGTTACATGCAAATACACATACCTTCGTCAGGCGGCGTCGTTTCCCAGACCACTGTATGTGACGCTCTCTGCCGGGGTCACCGAGACCGCGCAGCAGCCGCTCTCCCGCCGGGGGCGGGGGTTGGGGGGCACCCCACTGCCCTGACGCTTAGCCCAGAAGCCAGGAGCCACCCGGGTCGTTCTCAGACCTTAGCGAGAGAAGCGGTTTGGGATACTTTGTCCCCGTTTCCACGGCTGAGGGAGCCAAGCACGGGCGGCGGAGCTGGGGTTCGTCCTGGAGCCCCTGGTCTTGGCCCGCATGCCGCGTGGCGCAGTGGAGACGGGTGTTGTTTGGCAAACATGGCATCAGGTGGCCCCCGGACGAGCGAGAACGCTCACGTATGAAGGAGTCTGGGCGACCGTTGGCACAGGCAGCTGTGCTTGTGCACACAGCCCGGCCTGGACCTGTGTCATCTGCTCCGTGCGGCGCCCGGGCCCCTTGGGCGGCGGCAGCCTTTTCTCACACGGGTTTCTTGGCCACACTCCTCACTTGTGCTTCCTGCCTGGGATCGGTGGCATTTCTGGGGCTCTAGGAAATGCCTTTATTCTCAGACATAAACCGATGAGACCCTAAGATCTCGAGGCTTTAATTACAGATTGAAGTTTCCTGACAGTAGCTCGGTAGTGTCATTTGTCACCACTGTTTTCAGACCTCCCCCCACCCCCACCCACCCCATGACATTCAGCTGAGCGTAGGGAAGGTCTGCGGCCCCCGGAGCAGCTGGTGACAAACGGTGCCCGGGTTAAGGCATCCTCCGAGCTCTGACCGTCTCCTGGACGATCTTTAATGGCAGGTCTTCAGGAGGTTTGGCAAAATTGCAGGTTTGATACTGAAAAGAGTGATTTCTAACCTCAGGCAGAATGTGCTGTGCATGCTAGAAATAGTGACATTTTTCTAGTTTTCATAAGTATTAGAAAAATTATGATGGATAGTTGATAACAATCGACTCCACGTTAGTTTAGTTCCTAAAATAAGCCATACTTGAAATATGCTGATTCTCTAAATCCTTCCCTTAATTACACTACGCCAGAGGGGCCAGACATTCTGAGGGAAAATATTTTTTTTTTTTTTTTTTTGCCTCCTTTAGTTCTAGAAAGTGAATTTCAGTTTAAGTGATTTTTCTCTTTTTGTCTGGGTGGCCTTCTGTCACATATTCTAGGAATAACGTCCCTAAATATCAAACTTCCTTTTTCACGCCAACCTTACGACAAATCTGTGTTGCTGTCACTCTTCTCTGTTTCCAAGTGCATCTAGGGGTGTGATGTCATAGCACAGCTGCCCCTTTGGTTACTGGGAAGAACAATAACCCCTCTTTCCTGGTCTTTTCCCCTTTGAGCCTCTGACAGTGACAGCACCGTCCCTGACCATCGCCGAGAATATGGCTGACCTGATAGATGGGTACTGCCGGCTGGTGAACGGAGCCACGCAGTCCTTTATCATCAGGCCCCAGAAAGGTGAGGTCCCGCTTCCGCTTGAGCGTCCCCTGAGCTGCTGGCAGGCTCACCCCAGCAGCCTCTGCTCCTTCTCGTGGATCAGTCTGTGCGTGTGAAGAGAAGACAGGGACTCAGCCCAGCAACTCTGTATGCTGCTTTTTCTGGGGAAGGAGGGCAACGCACAGCCTGGGTCTGAACGGAACTCCGGCTGTTGGGTTCGAGCAACACACTGGAGCACTTTCTAGGCCACTGTCAGTGTAAAGACACTTGTAGGATCACGTTCCGGGTCTGTTTGCTTTCAGGTATCCTTTGTAACGCGTGTTAAATAAAGCATCTTTCCTGTTTTTTCTTATAGAGCTCAAAAGCTTAGAGAAAGGAACAAAATTCATTCTCAGTCATGATGTATAAAGTCGATGATTGGAATGAATAACTGGCCTGGAAACAAGGCTCTCTCACCTCAAAAGCGATGTGGGGTTTTTACAAGGCAGTGATAATGGCTGTTTGAGAAGATTTGGATTTCTGAAATAATCAAACGAAATGTTCCCAGCAGGATAATAGCATAGTGGTAGCAAGACAAATTTGGGCTTTAGAATTCTTACCAACTTGTGGGTTCGAATCACGACTCCTCTGTGCTGCCGTCTGTAAATTGCTTAACCTCTCTGTGCCTCGGTGCTCTTGCTGTAAAATACAAGACACAGAGTGGCACCTGTCTTTTATGGTTTAGGGAGGATTAATGACCTCATAAAAGGCTGGGAGCTGTGTCCACCACATACTGTGGCACGTAAGTCTTAGGATCGTTCCCATCACACTGCTAGCTGCAGTGGGACCCTGACACATTGTGGGAACCTTGACTTTGACCATCCTCACGGCGTGGTAGGTGGGTCCACAGTGGTGCCCACAGAGCAGCCGGCACTGTGGCAGGTGGCACAGGGCCCTTGCAGCTCTCACCTCCCTGACCAGGATGGTCACAGAGAAGGAGTCCCGCAGGGCTGCGTGCCCTGTACCGGGGGAGATAGGAAAGCACCAGGAGGGCAGATGGGGAAGTTCCGAACTCCCGTCGAGCCGCAGCAGAAAGCCCAGCCCGCCCGGCAGCCGAGTACCCCGTGTTGACAGCAGTTAGAGGGAGCAGTGGGGGCATGTGAAGCAGTGGAATCATTGGAACCTTTGTGTAAAAGTTAGTGTCCTGATGTGCTCTGGAAACAATAGCGAAAGTCACAGCCAGAAAGCCGGTAAGGACACAGCTAATCAGCAAAAATGTTTGTAACACCATGATCAGACCAAGAAAACTTATTCATTGTTTTTTTTTTCTTTCATAGTAGCTTTCTTTGTATGAAAACAGTTGCTTTTAGGAATGTCTAAAGGCCACTGTATGTCAGAACTTGTGCAGACACAGACTCTTGGCTTTACATTTCGTGCTTTAAGCAGGGGTATGTACCTTGCAAATATGATTTAAATGTTTTAGGGAAACTCCTTTCCGTGAAATTAGTATTTTATGAAAGTATTCAGTGTGACATATTGCCTGTATCCTTTCTAGTGAATAATTTAAAAAATTTTATGCTGATTTCCCTAATGTTCTTTATCAGTTTGTCGGTACACACAGAAATAACATTCAGACGTTAAGTATTAAATAAGCCGGCCATTCCATGTTTGAAACGTCAGCATCTTCCTGTGTTGGTGTTTCATTGGCTTTTTTTTCTCCTTGGGGATCAACGTTTTGATATCAGATCTTGTGAGCTGTGATGCATTAAGTTCCTCATGCGTATGACAAGAGCATAAGTGAAAATATTTGTCATAAAAAACTGGTAGGGCACTGGCTGTTAGCAATTGTATGTTGTCTTTACAGAGTGAGATGTTAGACTTAGTAATTTACTTACCTGATTCTCAATCCCAGCATATTCATTTATTACACAGCTGTTTTATAATAGATGCCTAAAGTGAAGATACATTGCCTAACGGAAATAACTGTAAATCAAACATTTAAAAAAATTTTTTTAATGTTTATTCGTTTTTTTGAGAGACAGAGACAGAGCGTGAGTGGGGGAGAAGCAGAGAGAAAGAGGGACAGACACTCAACCTACTAAGCCCTGTGAGCGCCCCAAAAGAAACATTTCTAAAGCTGCGATATGGGGAGGAAGATGTCTGTGACACAGACACCAGAGCATTAAAATCTCTTCTTTCTCACACATTCTCCCAGCTCACGAAGACAAGCCAGGATGGAAATAGGCTCCTCACAGAAGGGGGACACACAAATGTCCAGTAAGCACTGGACACAAACGAGCCAGATCGCATTTTGTGTTACTAGTTTGGTAAAGTGAGCCATCGCGGAAGATGTGCCCTTGCACTTTGTTGGCGTCCATGCCAGCTGTTGGGGCTCGTTGTCTACCTCCTGGAAATCCTCCTGCAAAGTTAGACACGGGATGTTCCCTCTGCGCTGTTCGTAATCACTCAAAACCGGAAGCAGCGTGAGCGTCCACACTGTGGGAATTAACCGCTGGGTGAGGGAGCACGCGCCCCTGATACAGCTCCGTAGCTGCAAACAGTGATGAGATGGTGCTGATTTTGTGCTAAAAGCCTACAGCACGCGTGTGAGTGTGCGAGAGTGTGTGTGTGTGTGTGTGTGTGTGTGTGTGTGTGTGTGGAGTGAAACCTTTGTGTGTTTATTTACAAGAATAAAGGAGTCCGGATATCTGGACGAGCTAAGTGACCGACTGTGGACAGTGAGCACTCCCGGGGAGGGGGCAGGGGGAGGTGTGTTTGAAGCAAAGGGGGTGGGGCTACTGCCTTTCCACGTTACGTACCTTTATGATTTAGATTTGCTACGGTGTGTCTGTAATGTTTAACTTTAAAAAATAGATAAAAACTTTTATTCGAGAATTAAAAGCCAAATGTAGGTTCATAGGAAGATCCATCCTTCTTCCTAAAGAATTTATTCAGACAAATAACATACCCCCCCCACGAACGACTCGAGAAGTCCTATGTGTGCGTTCAGCTTTGTGAATTTAAAGGAATGTCCGAAATTAACCCCTGGAACCGGGTGTTTCAGGCGGTGAGTTCTAGTGTTGAGAATGCTGCCGCCGATGTTGTGTGTTGCCGCTTTTCTCAGAGGTCTGTTACTTTCAGATCTGTTCCTTCCAGAAAGTGCTTTGTTAAGACCCTCCACTCATCAGTCGGCTCATTCACAGCCTGCCTTCTGCTCCTGCCCGGCTGCTTAGGAAGCGTCTGTGCGCCACGTGTTTATTCACTGGTCTCTTTCTCTCTCCAAGGAAGCAGGCGTTCCGACAGGGGGTGCAGACGGCTAGAGGCCACGCTGACGTGTCACTTGGAAGGCCGTTATTAACGGGCAGTGGTGGATGTGGGCGACATGCGCTGGTAGCAGCCACGGGTGTTCTGATAGGAAGTTCCAGGAAGTCCACTTTGGCCTCCATGCTGTAACTTGGTTATGTTGCTTGAAACTTGAGGCCAGGAAGTCGGAGTGAGGAAGCTTGCGTGGAATCGCCGTAGCGCCCTGGGCGGCGCCACACAGAAGCTTCGTGCGCTCTGTGTCACTCATGCCGCACAAGCATCCGTGCAAGTTAGTCTGGTTTCTGTTTTCTCGGTAAATAGACAGTTGTTCAGAAAGAGTCACTCGGGGCCCGAGGCTGATTCAGTTTTTGGTTTACCGAGTGGTGGTCCGAGAGCCGTCTGAGCACAGGGTACCCTGCTGAGTGTCCCGAGACACCCGTGGGCAGGTTCGGTGTAACCTTCAAGCGGTTCTGATACGTGGGAAGTGCCCTGTAATGAGGCCAAAGCCCCAGCACGGCCGCCCGAAGCCGCCTGGGGTGTTGCAGGAAGGGCTCCTTTGAGCTCAGATCGCACTTGGGTTGAGCTTTAAGAAATTGAGGAATTTGGTGTTTCTACCAAATGAGGAATTCTTGGTATCTCTACCAAGAAGGAAGAGCTTCTTCCGAGGGTTGGAGGGTGTGAAGGCAGCATGCTGTGTTCAGTGAGATACGATATGCAGCCACAGAGAGCAGGGAACAGCGGAGAATGGAACAGGAGAGGCGGGCGACGGAGCTGCTGGGGCTGGCTTGTAGGGCAAGTGCAAGGGCAGCGAGTACTAGAGGGGCCCTGGGAAGGTGGCAGAGAGATGGGGCATAGGTGGGCGGACACCCCAGAGAGGGAGACAGGGAGGTGTTGTGTGTCCCAGCAGAAAAAAACAGTGCTTCGTGGGACAAGCAGATGTGCTTAAGTTTCATCTTAAAAGCCATCGAGAGGGGCGCCCAACGGGCTCAGTCAGCAGAGTGTAGCTCTCGATCTCGGGGTTGGGAGTTCGAGCCCCACATTGCATGTAGAGATTGCTTAAAAATTAAATCGTAAAAAAAAAAAAAACAAAAACGAGACACTACAGTTCTAAGCAGGGGAATGACTTGATGAGTTTGTACTTGGGGAAGATTATTGTGGTAGTGACTTAGGTCAGGGAGGGAGTAGAAGACAGGATTAGTTCAGTGCCTGTCAGATTTGTCCACATAAAAGACATTAAACTGGGGATTGCGTGTGCTTCCTACTTCACAGAAGGAGGGTGAGGGGAGAGGGTCTCCCCAGCCACCAGATGTAGCCCTTTGCCTCGCTGTGATGACCTCCAGGAACAAGTCACAGTGCCTGGAGCCGCGAGGCCCCAGGCATTGATGGGAGGTGACCCCCAGTAGAGGGCCCAGGTCGGGGGCTCAGGTTCCTGGGCTCTGGTGCATCAGCCCCTCTGCCTCTGCACAGCCCGAGGATTTGTCTTCCTTTTATTTGTGCTTCCTGTACAGATTTTGGTGTTGCGACTGGTGAGCGTTTTTATCAAAGTACAAAATGTCCTTTGGTGTAAGTCACATTGACTTTGACCGGAAGACAGTCTTCATCCTTTAGAGCTTCCTGGGAGGGATGTCTTTCCACCTCTGCTTTGTTTTGATTAGGCGGTACCTTTTAAACCATATGCACCCCCGGTTGGTTTGTGTGTGTTATAAATATTGAAAATAGACCGTGAAAACAGCATAATGACCTCCTTAATAAAGGGTTATTGCTAAATTCTGGAGGAAGACTTCTTCTCTGATTTCTGCACATAGTCTTTTCAAAAGAAATAGAAGGAACCTCATCTCTCTCTCTCTCTTTTTTTTCTCCAGAAGGTGAACGGGCTTTGCCATCAATACCAAAGTAAGTGCCCTTTGTGCATTTTGTCACTTAGTCGTGTTAGAGACCGTGTGGGTTCCATGCTTGATTTTCCATTTGCCTGAATAACCACATTTCTAGGTGTGCGACTAGGGAAGTAGAAAACCAGTATTTGCAGAAAGAAGTCAAATCAGCTGTCATTCTTGCTTACAAGGGATGTGTCCTTGGGCCGGCAAGCGGGACCCTGACCGCTCTCCTCTGCCGGCCACGCTAGGCTTGCTTCACCACTGCCCACACTGTTCTAAAGCTGTGTTGAAGTTTTCTTAGTTACTGGAGTAGACTGTCCTCTCTCTACCTCTAGGCCATCGTAAGTGCTCTTCTCCCTCATGGTCCACTCTCCCTCCAGCCTCCTTGACCCCACTCCACCCCTGCTCATCTTTCCGGGCTCATCCTGCATCACTCTCTCTAGAAACCCCCCACGATCCCCCAGTCCTGGAGAGCGTCCCCGTGTGCGTGCCCATAACACCTTCTGCCTTGCTGTAGTACTTATCCCACTTTAAGCATACTACCTTTTTGCTTATCCACGCCCCGTGGTCTTGTGGACGGCCAGGGTCACGTGGCCTTGTAGACCTGGCCCTGGAAAGTATGTGGCACGCAGGAGCCACACAGTAGCCGTGCGGGTGAGTGGGGGGATGGCCGAGAGCAGCTTTGGGCTTCCAGGCAGTGTCTTCACAAACTCAGTGATATTTAACAGATACTCACTGATGCCCCACATTAAGCCACAAACCAGTGCCCAGAATATCTTCAGATGTGGGAAGTCTGTTGAGATGACTGTGAGGGTTAAGATATGCAGAATCGTAAACGTGGATATAAAAGCGGGTGGAGAAGGTAGTAGGTCAGAAGTGGTAGCGGACGCTGTAGACACCGAACAAGTAAAGCAAACCTGAGAAGAGCGGAATCGCCACGAGTCACAGAGCAGCAGACGCTGTGACTGCTGGTGCTCCGGAGGCGGCGGAATCCGCGCACTTGTGGCAAAGCTGATTCGCGGCAGCACCCGGAAACGCGACGTGGCCGAGGAACCCCCCCCCCCCCCCCCCGCTGCTTTGGCAGCAGCACGTGGAGGCCGACAGTGAACCTGCTGTCGGGAGCACACACACCCTTCCCTGCCGGGCGTGGGGTTCAGAGAGAGTTTTCCTGAGTCACGTAGCTGCAGTGGAAGAGAAACGGCTGATGTGTTGCACAGCAACTCTGATTCCACTTAGAGGATCGTTAGGTCTCAGCTACGTCGAGCATTCAGTCAAAGGAGCCCAGTCCCGTGGCTTTAGGCTATGATTGCTGATCATAGAGGCCACACAGCCGCCTGCGGGACCTTTCCAGTTCCCCAAAGGGATCGCCTCAGTCCCCATGCTTCCTAGTGTAGATTCTATGTACAAGACGCGTCTTCTGTTCAGTGCTTCTGTACTGCACGCTTGCGTATCTGGAGAAAGCTGTCTTCTGTAAAAACACGAGTCACTTTGGCATCTGAAGAGTCTGGGTTCCTTTTCTTTCTCTGTGCTTTGTGTTTTCCAAAATTTTTAAACGACCTACACTTGTATTTTTTAAGTGTTGCTAAAACATGTGGCCAAAATTTTATTTTATGTGTGTAAACATGCAAAACGCAAGTGTTGGTGAGCCATTTCACGAAACAAGCAAGCAGATGTTGAGCTTACGTTTTTTATCAGGCTGTACATAAAAATACATATTCGTGTACTATCTGCTTTCTTACACGCACTAAATTTAAGAAGGACCAGTTATACTCCAGTTTCTCAGATGACGTTTAGGAGTGCAGATTTCTTTTCCAGGTGTTTTTTCTCCTGGAGAAACCCTATAAATGTGGGGCGGTCCCTTGCAGTCTGGCATTTAAGTGTGAAATTTTACGCAGCCTGCTAACCACTGGCCAGCGAACGGTGTTGTTGTGCCAAAGCCACCGTCGGGAGTGGCTTTCTCAGCGCAGCTCAGCGTTCCTTCCGTTGTCGATCTTAATTCCTGCCTTGTAGACCAGTAAAACAGTCTGACTCCTTTAAGTGCCTCAGGTAGTGCAATTTAATCTTCTAAAAATCAGCCTTGAAATGTCTGGTCTCCATGGGAAGCGGCAGCGTCCTGATTACAGGCGCTCCCTGTCTGTCGGCTCGGCGGGGGCTCGGCCTGGAGGGCGCGGCACTCACGGCTTTGCACCTCTCTGTTACAGGCTGGCCAACAGCGAGAAGCAAGGCGTGCGGACACACGCGGTCTCCGTGTCAGGTGAGACGCTCCACCCGGAAAGCCCCAGACGGCGGCTGCCCCACAGAGCCTTGTGCAGACGTAGGAGCAGCCTCGTCTTTACTGCGGTCGGTCTTGCTAGAGCAGCTTAGAAGACTGAACGGTCTGACTACCCAGGGCTCCATAACTTTACCATCATTGAATAGGTTTAAATGTGGCTCGCAAGTTTTCTTCAGATGAGACGTTTATGGATAATGTCAGATTACTTCCAAGACTGTATAGAATTCCAAGTTATTCTTTAGTTGTGATGTCGTGTTCGTTGTGTTTAGAGTGAATATTTTTAATTTTGAACTTGCCGTTATAATTTATCTTTGCAATTCAGAATGTAACAGAATAGACTTTGTGTATTTATTGTTTTTTTGAGTTCAGGAAATGTGAAGTGTTTTTAAGTGGTTTTTGTCTTTCACAGTTAACATAAAGTGGTGTTTGAATATTGCTTTTTTGAAAGATATAGTTAAGATACTGGCACAATCAGTATGTTAACTATTTGCTGGTGTCATGAGTATGGTGTGCTTTCCTTGGTATGTTTTCAAAACATATGTGCCTTTTTTCCCCATTTAAAAATGTGGAAAAGAGAGGAAAGTGAGGGCAGGAAGCATCTCCTGTGGACCCACGTTTGCTGTCTTAAAATACATACACGATGGATACATACATCTGTGCGCACGTACGTGTACACGTGCATGGGCGCACATCTAGTCTGTCCTTGGCTCTGCGTTACATCTCTAAAATGGTAGCTTCCTAATAACTCCAGTGTCTGATGATCTGATTTAGAATAAGAAACCTAATTCCTATTGGTTTACTTTCCCTTGGGTTAATCTTCCCGAAATTTAGTTTTGTGCTTTTGCCCAGTCGATGACTGTATTCTTTTTTTCACGTTCCAGCTTACAAATACAGTTGCTTGCTTTTGATCGTGCACAAACACCCCACAAGCCCTCTGTCAAGAAGTGTTTGTGCCCCCGCCTCTATACACTTGGCCAAGATCCTCTAGTGATGAGCTGTGTGACAGATGTGTGTCAGAGCTCTGCTGTTTAAGAAATCATGGACAGCTTCCCGACAAGGGGGAGGGTGTTTTGAGTACAGAGCTTGTACCCTGGGCCTGCGTCAGAAGCTGGTGGGCTGCAGGGCTGCCGGAATGTTCTAACACCGCAGTTGATTGTGCTTGCATGCTGCCTTCCCCAGTGCTCCCTCCTGACCCGGCAGTGGCGCTGGGGCGCTCAGGGGTGCTCAGCATTTGCACCTGTGGGCCCGTCCTCGCCCAGGCCGTGGTGGGCGGCAGAGACGGGGCAGATGTAAACCAGGCCCTCAGGGAGTCTGTACTCTGGTTGGAGAGACAAAAGCCCGCCCGGTGCAAGGTGGTGAGCGTGGCGAAGCAGTCCGTCTGTGAGCAGGCCTGGATCTGAGAGAGCCAGCGAGCTGGGCGGCCCCGGATGTCGTGCAGGGTGCTGTGTGGAGCAGGTGAGGGCGGGCGGGGCGGGCCCTGTGTGCCTCAGCGCCACCCTCCGTCATCCTGCCGGCCCACGGCCCTTCCCGCTGAAGGCAGAGCAGAGGTGCCCCGTTAGGCGCGTCAGGACTCCACAGCCCAAGTGACGTAAAGTGGGGCCTCGCAGAACCTCCACGTCTCCTTTCACGTCTTGTTCCTTCTCCTGTTTTCCTAACCCCTTTGAATCAGGGTCCTCACTTGAGGCTTTGAACCTCTGTTGTTAGTGGCTGATCATCCTCGCACGCCCGGGTCTT